TGACGCCACCTTCCGTCGTGCATGCTGGATCAAGAATACGTCAGCCCAAATGGAAATGCCATATGTAAGGACCGACGTGACAACTGATGACAGCAACGCTCTTCTCTTCTGCTTTGGCCCTCCAACGGGATCCGCATTCCGGGTCTGATATAAGTCGAAAAGTGGTTTATTTCAAGTAGAAATCAAGCCAGAAAATCGGTTTGAATCAAATCGAAAAATCGGCTTGAATCAAATCGAAACAAGCAGTTGCCCGCTCCTATATTGCAGAAGGCATGTGACTGTTACTTTATGTCTCATTTCTATTTTAATTTTTTATTTCTACCAATTCGATTGGTCGTAAGCTTCCGAATGGATCCATAGCAATTCCCTTTTTCAATTTACCTCCAAAACTTTATATAAACGGGTGCATATATTTTGATTGATCTAGATAGAAGACATCGAGACGAGTATTTTGAAAAAAAATGAAATCGATCAAGTAGTTTTTGAGATATTGACCAATATAGTTTTATACAAAAAGTTGAAAATCTCTGGAACTACTGGACCGATATCACTGACCAAAAATATCAACCTTTGGTATTATGGGAGCTATCATGATACCAAATTTCGACCTTCTATCTCAATTTCTTGTCGAGTTATCGCGCGTACATTCATTTTTCGGAAAAAATAGAAAATCGGCAATATCTCGAAAACTTTGTATGAATGGGTATATTTAGATTGATCTAGATAGAAGACATCAAGATGAGTATTTTGAAAAGAAAATGAAATCGGTCGAGTAGTTTTTGAGATATTGACCAATATAGTTTTATACAGAATTTGAATATCTGAGGAACTAGTGGACCGATCGAGCTGAAATTGTGCATCAAACTTGAGCATAATAGTACCTAGTATGGGTCAAAATTTCATGTCCGCACTGATAGAACGGATTAGTTATTGTTAACGAATGTACATTTGAGGAGCCTTGTTTGACTTGACTTTCGCCATTCAAGTGAACCATTCGTTAACTATTAACGAATATTCATTTGGTCATATTCAACTCTACCATTCGTTAATAGTTAACGAATCTCGTTTAGAATAAATGAATCATTCTATCAGTGCATATCAATGAATTTTCCCGTACTAATGTTATATTTTTTAAAAAGTGGTAACCCAAAATCGAACTATCAGACCCGGACATACAGACATTTTCTAAAAACATCATTTCTTCAAGTTTCATACCATTCCACATCATCTTCAGGCAAAATTAGAGAATATCAGAATCCGACGAATACCATGCTTCCATTCGGCAAAACGGAGTAATTCACGCCGAAATTCTGCCTGTTTCAGGTAGTACATAGCGACTTGATTCTACTGTCGGTGTCAAAAGTAGAGACCACTCGAAATAAACGTCTATAACTCGACGAAAAAAAATCGTAAAAATATGGGACTAATTGCACTATGTAATATAAGTATTTCACTCACCCAATACGAAGTTTCAAATTTTCAATTTGATTAGTTTATTTATAATCGTTGTGAGAAACCGAAAAACCCCCCGATTTTCAGGGTCCGTAAAAGTCGGCAAATTTTGAACCGCTACCACGTACCATATGTACGAAATTTTTTTTTAAAAATCGTCAATTTTACCAGAGATTCATTGAATGCTTGGGAAGCCAACGTGAGAAGAAAAAACTCAATATTATAATAATTATTTAATTAATAGAAATTTCCACTGCGGCTATCTCATTTTAGAATTGCCGAACCGACCTAAAAAAAAAGATGCATTCTGAATTCAATGTAAAACACATTCGGTCAATATTTTTTTGATAAACAATCTCCGTTGATTTAAAAAGAATCGAGAAAATTCGTCAAAAAAAGTGCTGTTAAAACGAGTATAACTCGTTATGGGATTAATGGGCCCGCTCACCGTCGGTCCCTCAAAATTGAAAACACATGTGCGCCTGCCTACCTCTTTCAGGGACGTCGATACCAGTTACAGTCGTTTGGGCCCTTTGGGGCGCAAATACACCGTACATTGCTTGCCCCCCTATTTCTTAAATCTAGAATTTTTTTTCATTTTTGGGGTCATGATATCCGGGGGGAGGGCTTGTAAAAAGGGGGGTTTTGCAGGGATGTTTTATGAAACGGTGGGTTATCGTTGGAGATTTTTAAAAATATCTTCGAAACGATTTATATATATATATTTATTTATTATATTATATATTATATTATATGCTATATTAAATATTATATTAAATATTATATTAAATATTATATTAAATATTATATTATATATTATATTATATATATATTTCGAAAATTTTGAAAATTTCCAACTTGGACAAATTGATGAACAAAATTGAGAACCCCCCCTTTTTGTCAGTAAAAATTCGCTATCTCCCTTAGTTTTGGAGATATGAAAAACTCACCGATGAGCTAAGTCGACTACCGGCGGAAGGGGGGGGAGGGGATACAGAATTCTTGATGTACACCCCATCCCCCTGCTTATGAGGCTCCCCAAGGGGACCTCATTGACAACGTACATCGAAAATTTAGGGACAAATCGGTTTGTATCAAACCAAAAATTCGGTCTGACTCAAACCAAAAGATCGGTTTGAATCAAACCCGAAAAATCGGTCTGAATCAAACCGAAAAATCGGTCTGAATCAAACCGAAAAATCGGCTTAAATCAAACAAAAGTCGCCCTGAATGAAGTCGAAAAATCGATTTTAACCAGACCAATATTCCGATTTGCATTTGTCCGAGTCCGACTTGATTCATGCCGTCAATTCGACATGAAAAAAGTCGATTCCCGGCATCATTTAGTCCGGCTTGATTCAGACCGATTTTTCGGTCTGATTCAAACTGACTTTTGTTGGGTGAAGCCTGTCCCAGGTCTGAGTCACTGAGCCTCACCAAACCTGGACTCGTACAGGCCTGTTCCCATCGTCAGTCTATGTATTTCCTGCCTGAGATTGAATCAAACCGAAAAATCGGCTTGAATCACACCGAACAATCGACTCGAAGCAAACTGACAAATTGCCTTAAATCAAGTCGCTATCTACTACCTGAAAAAGGCAATATTCTGGCGTGAATCACTCCGTTTTTCGGTTTCATTCAAGCAGATGTCTCGATTTGATTCAGACCGATTTTTCGGCTTGATTCAGACCGATGTCGGCTTGAATCAGTACTCTTTGTGGGTACAAAGCCATACCAATAATTGGCGAAAACATCCAGATGTTTTACTTAATTCACATCAATGATATATAGGGTAACCTATCAATGATAATTGATATATAATTGATATATCAATGATACAGAGTGTCCCATAGTATGTAGCAAAAGTAAATTGCGAATAACTTGAATACGGTTAAGTGTAAATAATTGTTGTTTTTTTTATTGTACACAGAACATTCGGCAAATTATAATACAATCCCTTCCATTCCTTTGATGGTGTCCGCCATCATTTGTACTACAGATCTCTATCCTACGCTCGAGGCTGGTATAGATGCGCTGTATTATGTTTTCATCAATAGCTCGGACAGCAACCCTAATTGCGTCTTGCAACTCTTTCACAGTCGTCGGATGCTTTTTATAGCACTTGTCCTTGAGAAAACCCCACAGGCAAAAACCACAGGGATTTAAGTCAGGACTGTAAGGCAACCATTCTATGCCCCCATGGGCATACTTAGGGTAACCTAAACCTAACACACGAGTGCCGTAAACGGAAAAAGGTGTTTCAAATACTCCAGTACTCCTATGTGGGGCGACACCATCTTGCATGAAGTAGAAATTCTTGACTAATTGATTTTTTCGTGCCAAAGGAAAGAAGTTCTTTTTCAAGAACTCACAGTAAATGTCAGCATTAATTGTCCGACTCTCGAGGAATTCAAGGAAAATACCCTTTATGGTAACTGTCGCCCATGCAGTAACTTTTTTCGGGTGCGAGGACTTGGTTTCAACGACGTGAGGTGACTCAGTCCCCCAAAAGCGAAAATTTTGTTCATTTACCAAGCCACCTAAGTAGAAATGTGCTTCGTCAGAGAAGATGATATTCTGTGCCTTCATCCCCTTGGATTCAAAAAGATTGTGAAGTTCTTGGCAAAATTCCACACGACGAACCATAGCTTCTTCAGTTGAAAATTGATGTACAGAAATTTTGTAGGGATGGAAGTTTAAAAAGACTTTTAAGATACGGTGAAGTGAAGTTCTCGAGACTTTCAATGTTTGGGAAGCCTTCCGAAGAGTATCATTTGAATATTTTTTGAAATGTTCTTCAGTTGTGCGGATAACCTCATCTGTTGTTACAGTAGGTGAAGGGCCAGGATTCTCATGCCTCCTATCGTCTAGTAAACCGTATTGATCAAATTACTCAATTAACCTGAGAAGACCCATGAATTGGTCGAAAAATGCGTAAATCTTCAAAAAAAAAAAGAAAAAAAAATTTTGTTTATCTAGTTCATTCTCTCTATTTACCGTCTGAGACTCGAATCAGACACTCCAGTGGGTGTGCCATACTTAGAATAAAATGCTGTTATTGCTGCAGTAGTTGAATCTCCTCTTCGGTAATATGATTTGATGAGGAATGTTTTTTGTTCAATGGTTAGGTTTTCCATTTTAGTGTTCTAATTCGCGAGCAACTGAAGTATGGATGAAATTTGCGGAGAGTCTCCACTTCAACCATATATTAGACTTTAGACTGCGCTGTCACCTTGCGGTATACAACGCAATTTACTTTTGTCACATACTATGGGACACCCTGTATATCATTGATTGTAGGCATGGTATAGTTCAGTGAATATATATTCACTGAATTTTGTAGGCTGGGTAAAGTGAATACATTGGTATAGTTCAGTAAATATATATTCACTGAACTATACCAAGCCTACAAAATTATTTGCAACACCCTGTGACTGGTTAAAAGCATTTAAAGTGGTATCGACAGCAAGACCACTTCAAACACTATACGTGTAAGCAGAAATTTCAAACACCAAATGAATATCTTGCTCATCTGATTCCATTTTCAGAAAGAATTCAAGACAAGACGAGACGCGATCACAAGAATCTCATTTTCATGATCTAAGAACCTTGCACAAGAGGGTTGCACCAGAGACAGTTTCTGATCAACTAAGCCCAGCAGCCGCAATCAAAGATGAATACAAATAAGAAACGCCAATCAGACCTCGAAGAAACATTTTCAATGTAATCAAGTACCAAATTTATTTACAATTACATACACATATGAAAAAATTCAATAGGCTTATCCTATAGGACTTCCTATAGGATTTCCTATAGGTTTGCCTATAGAACAATTCTATGGAGAATTGAAACACTTTCTATAGGATTTCGTTCCCAAGTCTGCGGGAATTAAGATTTTCTATAGATGAAAGATCTATAGAGGATTCTTTGTAGGATGACTTATAGGATTTTTTATTCAGGGAGAACATTGTTTAAATAACCATGGAATATCTATAGGAAAGATGACTATGGGAACTGGGCCATAGCAATTCGTTTATAGGGAATCTGTTCATGGGAATTTGATTGTTTATAGAAATTGTTCCATGAATAACCATGGGATTTCTATTGGGGAGATGTCTATGGGAATTGAGCCATATGAAGTCTTTTATAGGGATTCGAATTTTTTATAGAAACTTTTCTATGAATAACCGTGGGATTCCTATAGGAAAGATGACTATGGGAAGTGGGCTATATGAATTCGTGTATAGGGATTTGCAATTTTCATAGAAACTATATTCTATAAATGACCATGGGATTTCTATTGGGGAGATGTCTATGGGAATTGGGCCATAGGAATTCGTTTATGGGGAATTTGATTGTTTATAGAAATTGTTCTATAATTGACCATGGGATTTCTATCGGGGAGATGTCTATGAGAATCGGGCCATAGGAATTCGTTTATGGGGATTCGAGTTTTTTTATAGAAACTTTTCTATGAATAACCGTGGGATTCCTATAGGAAGGATGACTATGGGAAGTGGGCTATATGAATTCGTGTATAGGGATTTGCAATTTTCATAGAAACTATATTCTATAAATGACCATGGGATTTCTATCGGGGAGATGTCTATGAGAATCGGGCCATAGGAATTCGTTTATGGGGATTCGAGTTTTTTTATAGAAACTTTTCTATGAATAACCGTGGGATTCCTATAGGAAGGATGACTATGGGAAGTGGGCTATATGAATTCGTGTATAGGGATTTGCAATTTTCATAGAAACTATATTCTATAAATGACCATGGGATTTCTATTGGGGAGATCTCTATGGGAAGTGGGCCATGGTTATTCATGGAACAATTTCTATAAACAATCAAATTCCCATGAACAGATTCCCTATAAACGAATTGCTATGGCTCAGTTCCCATAGTCATCTTTCCTATAGATATTCCATGATTATTTAAACACTGTTCTCCCTGAATAAAAAATCCTTTAAGTCATCCTACAAAGAATCCTCTATAGATCTTTCATCTATAGGAAATCTTAATTCCCGCAGACTTGGGAACGAAATCCTATAGAAAGTGTTTCAATTCTCCATAGAATTGTTCTATAGGCAAACCTATAGGAAATTCTATAGGAAGTCCTATAGGATAAGCCTATTGAATTTTTTCATACGTGCACATACATACATACATTCATACATGTATCCGGACATGGTCTGGAAATGGTATATTCAAACTCGTGAGGCCAAAATTAGTTATTCTGACACAAAAAATTGGAAATTTCGGATTTTACGTATCCAAAGCTTCCATTCGGAAGCATAAATTGCATAAACAATATGCATTAACTTAACTTCCACAGGTATCATTTCCATCGTATTCTGGTGGAATCAAGAAGTTAAACACCAATTTTTTAGTTATAAAAAATCTGTTTCAATGGTGATTCTTGAAGTAATCGTTGAAAAATCGATTTTTTGAAAAATCTAAATCTTAATTTTCGAAACTTTACAATAAATTTCATTTTAGTTAGTGACCACTGATCGAGCTTATTGCAGTCTATATTCATGAAAAAAAACCTTAACTTCGATAGATCCCCTGTAAAATAATAGAAAAAAAATTTTAAAAAAGAGCACACACATACAAGGTGACAAATGGGAATAGGTGAAAACTTTTTCCTTATATTTCCTTCTCCACTTTGTCACCAGGGATCGGGCTGTTGTAGGTTAAAACTTGGAGCCTGGCAAATTCTGTTGGGACACTCCGGGGTCTAGTTCATATTCTCCAAAATGAGTGAGCCTACTGTCGAAGAAAAAGTGTATCTCATTGAGCGCTATTATTCCCGATGAAAAAATTACACAAATGCGTATAGAGGCTTTCGTAGTAAGTTTGATAGTCACAGAATTGGGAGTGAAACCACTCTCAAACGGTATGAATTTTTTAGTTCTCCTGTACGATTCTTTTTGAGGTTAGTCCCCATTAAATTTTATATGATACGTGCGTATAACCGCATGGGATTCAGTTGACTATAGTCAACTGGAAAGTAGCGGGTTTCGAGCGCCTATCCACACTCAACTAAAACCCGAAATAACGCATGACGCCCATGCGCATCACCTATTAAAAGAGAATAACAAGGAAGGAAATCTAACCTCCGAATAGTGAATACATGGAATGACTGAAAAATGAAAAGGTGATTTTCGAAGCAGATAAAATGAGCCAAAATCGTATAATTCCTAATAGTGATGAAGAGTTAGGCAATGAGAAGGATTTATTTAGTTGATTGGTGATGTGACATTTGAAGAAAATGGAAATGAAATATTCTCCAATGAAGCAACAGCAGGATCGCCAAAAACTCCTTCTTCAATCAAATACTGTAACTTAAGGGCTTTATTGAATTCTAATGATCGAAATAATGTCAAGGAAAGACAGAGAAAAATTATTTTTGCTTTTCAGAGACATGTCACAGAATTCACCGAAACTTCACTGAAATTTGGTGATTGATTTCTAAAAATTAGTGATGAGTCATTGAGAATTCAGTAACGAAATAGTACATTACGCAACTAGCTGCGCCGCCCTCGTGAGTAACCGCCTGCTGTCCGCACGTTTTGCGTATACTATTTTATATAAGTGCGTGATGAAGTCTGGGGGCGGAAGGGGGGGTGTGGGGGGCTCCCCCCACGAGAAAAGGGGGTCCAGGGGGCGAAGTCCCCCCCCCACTGAAGAAAAAAGATCTTATTTATTTAAAAAAATAATTATAAAAAAGTGTGATTTAAAAATTATGCGGAACTTCTGAAGAAAAAATTAATTATATTCATTAAATATGTAGTTCAAAAAACTTGTCAAGTATTTTTAATTGAAAAAATGTAATTATAATAATTACAAAATACAATTTTTAAAAATCATTAAGAATTCGCAAAAAAAAGAAAGTTATAATTATAAAAAAATATAATACAAAACGTAATTGAAAAATCGGAGAATATTTTATTTCCATTTTCTTCAAATGTCACATCACCAATAAACTCCTCCTCATCAGTAAATAAATTCTCCTCACTGCCTAACTCTTCATCACTATCAGGAATTATACGATTTTGGCTCATTTTATTTGCTTCGAAAATCACCTTTTCATTTTTCAGTCATTCCATGTATTCACTATTCGGAGGTTAGATTTCCTTCCTTGTTATTCTCTTTTAATAGGTGATGCGCATGCGCGTCATGCGTTAGTTCGGGTTTCAGTTGACTATAGTCAACTGAAACCCATGCGGTTACACGCACGTATCATATAAATGAAATTTTTCAATCACACTTTTTCATAATTACTTTTTTAACAAATGTGATCTTTTTTCTTCAGTGGAGGGGCCTTCGCCCCCCAAACCCCCCCCGGGGGGCTTCGCCCCCTGGACCCCCTTTTCTCGTGGGGGGCTTCGCTCCCCGCACCCCCACTCGCCCCCCCCTTCCACCCCCAAACTTCATCGAGCACTTATCATATAAAATAGTTGCGTAATGTACTATTTTGAGTCAATGTGTTCTTGTTTGTAGGGTTTGTACCATATTTGATTTTTTTTTATTCTTTCCCACATCAATCAACAAAATTCTGATAGTTTGATTTTTACCTATTCCCATTTGTCACCCTGTACATACATACATACAGATAGACATTATCTGAAAATTACTTATTTGAACTTTTTAGAACACTTTAGTTATCCGGACATAAAAAACTGGAAACTTAACCCCTCAAGTACGGCGTCCTTGCAACATATTGACCCGAGAGTTTTTCCTACCAGCCGGAGTCCACATGTCATATAGACCTTTTTCATGATTAATAAACATTTATTATCTTTCGTACTATTGTAGTTATCGAAATTCTAAAAAAATTTCCATGAAATCGATAAGATTATCAACACAATGCGACTTGATTTTTTTTCCAGTTACTTTCAATATTTTTCTTCAATACATAAACAATAAGGAACTGAATTCGATGTCAGATGCATATTCCAACCTCTCGTTTATGGAGCCAATTTTCATAAAATATTCTGAAATTTTGCCGAACATACTCTATACATTCCTTTGTCAAATGACGCAAATGAAATTTCGATTCAATGAATTACTGATTTGTTATTAACAAATTTCCGATAATCGCCGATCTTGGCTCCGTCTTGGCAACCGTTTTCACTATCGATCTGAAATTAGAGTTAAAAATTCCAGAAAAATCTGTATAAAGGAATACTGTAATTGAACAACTGATTGGTGAAAGCTCAACATTATCATTAAATTTTAGATGATGATTTTTTGATCATCAGTATAGAAATTGTGGCGTATTAACCAGCGAATTTAAGTAGACAAGAGACCGCCGGCCGATGAGGACGCACCGCGCGTTTGGGCGCCGTATACTTGAGGGGTTAAATTTGAACGAATATAAAGTTTCCATTTCCCGGGGCCGAATTGCCAATGCTGTTGAATCAGCCAAACATCGGCTTTGAACTGGCACGCCAAGTCTCGGCGTCTTCTTCACGGCCAAGTGTCGGCTGAACGTCAAATGGCCATTCGTCGTCGAATACTACGTCTCGACCAATAATTGAGTAAACTTCGGACGCCAAGATTTCGTAAGGGTCAAACAGGAAAGACAAATTAACCAATTCCAAGCGTCAAACCCTCATTAGAGGCAAAGTCTGTTATCGAAGATGAGCGCAATAATGTAGAGGGTCAAAAGGGTGTCTCAAGGGTCACGAGGGTCATAAAGGTCAAATAGGGG